TGCCTTACTAGTAGAAACAAGAAGCTACTAGGAACAGGTGCATCGCTTGCTTGACGAGAACCGGTTCCGACGACACGAAGACGAGCGCTGGCCGCTTCGATTAAAGAGCAGAAACCAATTCGTTATCCCGAGACCCCAAATACTGTGTCTAAGAGATCCCTAGTGTTGCCACACTGTTTGGGGAGTCAAGCAAGCTATGGCAATGTGTACTCCAATTCAGACTAGTAGCTTCTTGTTACTACTAGTAAGGCACCTGTTACTAGTAGCGTGGCACTTGTTACTAGTAGCTTCTTGTTACTACTCATTTTTTCTGGTTTTGGTTTCTTTTGGCCATGGAGAGCTGTGGCAATGTGTGCAACTGGGCACTTTGTGGAGAGTGGCCAGATCCTGGACCAGGTCTGTTTTGGTCCACTTTAGCCTTCTAAGATATTTATAAATCCTATATATACAGATTGGTTCAGAAAGACTTGTGGTCTTCCCCTGTTTTTGTTCCGAAAAAGCAATCCTGTGCCAGGTTTGTGCCAAGAAGCAAGTTCGAGTTGCAGCCGCACAGATTTTCTTCGAAGCCTTGATCTTTTGCCCGAAGAGCAAGAACCATCCTGGTTCTATTTTGCGGGTGATTCCACGGGCCGCCAGCTCTGGGCTGCCTTTCTGAAGGACGTGGCGAAGCTTGACCTTGGCAGCCTTCTTGAGGTCAGGCTGAGTGTCGAAAACTGCCCCAGAACCACACCACACGACCAGCGTTTCCAAACATTTGTCAATGCAAACGCAAGGCAAGTAGGTCTGCAACCAAACTGGAAAAAGGTGGGGCATTATGTTTGTGATTGGAATGTAAGCTTTGGCCAAAGACCGGTGCGTGTCACCTATGACTGGCGCCGCTTCCTCAGCGACTCCACCAATGATTTACATGTGTTGCAAGAGGTGGCAAAAGCAGGAAGGTTGCCTACAGCCTGGGTGGTGATTTCTGGTGTGCATGATTGCTTTTATTTCCGACGGAACGTGACGTGGCTGACTTCCTCAGTGAAGGCCTTCTTTAGTTTCTTGGAGCAGCGCCCCATCTTGAAGAGCCGCACGGTGATCGTGGGAATGGAGTACATGGTGGACAAGCGCGAGCGCCCAAATGGAAAGTTCAGAAACTACAGTTCTTCCCCGCTATCTTTGTACAACTGTTCGCGAAGACTTCACAATATGATGCTAGAAGGGGCCCGAGAACACGGAGTCTACATGATCCCACGTTGGGAACTTACACGGAACTATGCAGATAAAGAAGTCTACGCTATACATTATCCGGAATCAGTCATTCTAAATGAGTTGCCATCACTACTGACTGGTCTCTCTTGCATTGCCAAAAGCAGGCAACATGGTCAAAGCACCTCCTTGATCACGGTACCATTGTACACCGGCCCTTTGCTTCTCCTTCACTTCCTCATGACGGTTGCGGCAGCAGTTGGTGCGCTGATAGTCGTGCATCAGAGGAGACGGGAAAGAGTTCTACTAGAAGGTCCGGCCGGTGCGCGAGAGCTTCACACTCCCAAAGTACATCCATGAGGAGTACAGAGTCACACTTGGCGCTTTCGGGTTTGGTCTTCGTGGCCATGTCGCGTTTCACGGGGCGGACCGACGGGACCGAGGACTGCGACGTTTCGTCGAGGAAAAGCCACGACTCGTCGGTGAAAACGACGGAGAGCAGCCTGACTGGCGGAGAGCGGCGGTGTGCATTTTCTTTTTCATGTAATTTTTGTATTTTTGTCAGTAAATTAAGGCTCCGCGCTATTCCTCGTGTGCCCGCACGTGGGGTGCTTAGGTGTGAACCCTAGGTAGTTCCTGGGCGTTAATGGTCCGGGGGCTGCCGCTGCTACTTGGCATCTTTCAGGCAGCGCTTGGTTTTGAAGGAACCTGGCTGGCGCCGGAACCTTCGAAGGTTTCGACAACGGGCCAGGATCTTCCTCAAGAGCGGTGCTCTTGGGGCAGTGGGGCGCAGAACGAAGAAAAGAGCGCAGCAGGCAATCCATTTGCTTTCAGCCCATCACGGGTCCACCCACCCTCATGAGCTTGCAGAACCAGAAGTGGAATTGTCGATGCTGTCATGTCCGCATGACAGACCTGCAGACACACTGCACTTGACGCCATGGACGGTGGGAACAGTGCAGTCAAGCAAACCCGAGATCCCAATCGCGCCGGAAGAGAGCAGCCAGCAAGGGTCAGAGCAATGTGAAGAAGGACGGTGCCAAGCCATCCGAGTCCCAGGGATCTATGTTGCCTTCATTTATGAAGTGGGATGGACTGGGGCAACCATGGCAGAAAGGATCACCAGAAGGACGGCTGGCAAAAGTCCAGGTGGAGGAGCCTCTCGAGCTTTCACCACCTCCAGTGTTTCCGCCACCACCAAAGCCAGCAGACGAGCTGCAGGAGGTGGCTCCAGAGGTCAAAGCTCACATCGAAAGCTTGCAGAGCGGCTTTCACGCCCAAGTTGGAGCAGGACATCATCACTGCTGCACGGGCCAACGCCAAGACCCCAAAGGCTTCAAGGGAAAGGAACCCCCCAAGAACCTCCCACAAAAATCCTATCCCATTCATCTCCTCGACCGCGGCCTCTCTTTTCTCGTTTGTCCGCGTGGTCGAGGTTGTAGGCCAGTTGCAAGCTCTTGTTGAACTGAATCCACTTGCCGTCCACCTCCTTCAAATGGGTTCTGGCAGCATCGTATTGATTGCGGGCTTGCTTGGCCTTGTTGAGGTCTGTGTGCGCAATCTCCAGTGGACCCTTCTCCCCTTTGGATGTTGGGGAGAGAGCATTGGAAATTCGACTGTTGATAGAGTTTATGAGCTGGATGGGTTCAATTGAGCGGTTAACAAGTGTCACACCCACTGGCCAATTGGACCACCTCTTAAACCCCCCTCAACCTCAGTCAACATGAGGAGAAGCTGACCTAGGACTGGAGTTCAGGCACCGCATTTTGCCGGACAGTGGGAGAGATTCCGGGATACTTTGCCTGCTGGTTTGGTGACTCTTTGGAAGCACCCTTTCATTCAAAGACAACAGATGGTGGACCTGAGAGGAGCTCGGCATGTCTTTGATAGGAACTTGCCTTGCCTAGATTCCGAGTTCATGGAGGACCTTGGAGAACCAGCTTGGGTACTTGCGGTACAGGTTCATGCTGAGGTGGACCTGATTGGTCATCATGTTCTTCTTTTTGAAGATCAGCGCGCTTACTGACGCCCTTTGCTTTGCACGGTGCGTGTAGATGGCAGGATGTTGAGAGGAACCTTGCTCCTGGAACAGGGATTTCATGAAGCGAGGCTCAATTCACCGGTGCTTTTTCGACAATGGCCAACGGAATGTCAATGTGACGTTGGGGCATGTAAGGTGGTGTATCCTATGAGGGCCAGGCATTGATGCATCTTCATCATCGTTGTGTTCAATGGGGAGGCCTTGACGAGCCAGATGATCGGCTTGACGATGAATCCTACTCTTTGATGCAGGACTCTCTGTCTTCTGTTGAGGCAGTGTGGCATCAGATACATGTTTTGCTGCGTTATGTGAGAGGTTCATTCTCCTCCACTCGTCAAAAAGAAATTGTTGTGAGAACAGAAGAGCAATGTGACGCTGTTCTTATCATGACAGGTGCTTGGGGGATTTGTAATGCGCCAGATATCTCACACATTTGTTCCTTGGACGGACGCACCTTTCTGGCCGGCCAAACTGTTTTGCTACAAGGGCACGCGCAA